GCTCTGTGTAACAGCAGCACAAGACTTATATTGTCACGCTTCTGCCTACATATATTTGTGTGTGTGTGTTTGTGTGTGTGTCCGAGATTTTGTCCTGCACTTTCAACCCGGGAGCCACAAAAGCCAGGAGATTGAAATTTTAATTGAATGTTCCCCGCCCGCGTGCGACCTCGAGAAGTTTAAATTTAGCCTTCCTGCGCGTGCGGGAATCATTCACTGCCCCGTGGAAGTCTCGGTGGGAGAAATTATTATTTTGGAAACCATGGGAGTTAGGAAGCTGGAATTTAGGGGTATGTCCGCAGTTTACGTACGATCCCGAAAATTTAAATTCATTCTTCCCGTGTGTACTGCCTTTTCCTGTGGACCATGAAAACTAAGAAGCTGAATTTGAACGAGACTGTCCCCTGTCCACGTCTGACCTCGCAAATTTGAATTTAGTCTTTAATTGAGCTTGGATCTCATGGCTCCATGAGAGATTCGGTGGGAAAAATTACTGTTTCGGAAGCCATAAAAGATAGGAGGCTGGAATTTTGAGAAAATGTCCTTTGCACACATGTGACCTCGCAAATTCATATTCAGCTTTCATATACGCCTTGTCCTCTCTTGTATGTCCCTACAAAAGTTCTGGCGGAAGAGGGGTGCGGGGAAGGGAATTATTTCGGGAGCCAGAAGAGCTGTGAAACTGAAATTTCAGGAAGATGTTTTCTGCATATGCAGCGGCAAACACAGACCTAGCTCTCAAGTATGCCAAGGTCATTTTGGAAGTTGGAAAACTAAGAGGTTGAAATTTGAGAGTCTCTTCCCCATCCAAAGCTTCAGATTCAACTTTCACGTTCCGGTACGCGAAATCTTTAGTGGAAAATTTCCCAGTTTAGGAGTTAGACAAGGTAGCGATTATTTTTGTATACATGGAAGTGTAAAATAGTCAAATTTTTAACAGGCGAGCGTCCGCTGGGCGGAACTGCGCAAAACGCATGACCGCATCGGCTACTTTGTGAGCGCTTCTGTTTTTACTTTGTTATAATATTTTGATCAGCTGTTGTTTCATCGTCGCGTTTTATCTCACTTCTGATACGGTTGCCGTTTCTCCATTCTTCTTTACCTCAAGCCTCCCTCACTGGCTTAATTCTAAATAGGCGATTGCATGGGCTCATGAGCATTTTTACATAAGCAACTTTTGTTCTAACATTGCGCGTGTAGTAATCGGGTTTGTCGATCTGTTAACTCGTTTTTGCCACATAGCCAGGCCAGTTCTTCGTTCTGGCATGCACTATCTCACGCCAGAGTGGAATCATAGTACTATATTAAAGTGTCTTCTAAAGTGTGATGGATTGAAATTGTTGCTTTTTTATGTGTTTACTCGCGTTTTGGAGACCCAAATGTTCGATTATTAGCCCGCATAACGATTTGAACTAATTTAGAACAACTACATAAGTTATTTCTACTCTTTCGGGCTAAACTCTTGTCGAATTATGTCATTTTCTAATCAGATCCAGGGGATTATCTAAATTTTTCATCCTTTTGCGAATATCAACTTGATTCATTGTGACGTTATGTGAGGGATGAGTCCGTCATTTCATGCCTCATTTTGTTGTTCGATTTACTTTTGTTAATCAGTGAGTGGATTGATGCAAATGTTCTTTTCAGGTTCATTATTTGTTTTTACTGTTTCTTTTTTTTATCATGGTACTTCCACGTAACTGTATATAATGTATAGTACGTTGTGCATTTTGACTATGCTGTTTGATACTCAGAATAAACTTTGGACTAATTGTTGAGTTTTTATCTTAACTCAAATTTAAAACTCAAAAGCAGGGCATCAGTCTAAAAAGCCGAATTTCTAAGCTGTTTTTTAATTGCATTGATGGAGAAGCACACTCCAGAATTCTTTCATGTTCATTTTGTTGGGAAGTTCGGAAGCGCCATTAACAGCCTTGCACTGTGGTTTCTTCTACGAAGGCATTATAAACTAGTCTATCAATATTCGGGATGCGCTGCTGTAGTGCG